AGCGGAGAGATATGACTTGGTCCGGCTGTTAACACTTTAATCGTTCCAAAATTAATTAAAATGTAACTTCCCCTCATAATATACAATCATCATCCAGTAAATATGCATGAGAAATATCAAACTTATCGGGTCGAAGTTGTTATCATGATTCATTACCAAATCTCAGGAAATGTGTAGCAACTAGAGGGGAGAATTTACAATCACATCTTGGAAGTTAAAGGGTTAATTAATCGATGAAGATGGAAACACTGATACTTTTGATGATTCCCTGACTTTATCTTTACTATCATCTGCATACCATTGCGTTTATTTTCTTCGATATCCAGAGAAAATCAACCTTCATCAGAATATCTCATTCAAGTACTTTTGAATGAGATATTCATCAAAATGGACACAGAACATTTCTAGCTTCAAAAACTGAGTTAATCCTGAATTATTCAGTTTCATTTTTCTCACTGCTCTCTAATTTCTTACTTTGTGTGTCAGAGTGACAAACCACGCGGTGGGTCTATCTTTTTTGGTTTAATTTTTTTGGTGAAGAAATCTGAGTTGTAATTTCTAATCTAATTTTGCAAGGATTTCCTGCAAAAAGAAGCCAAAACATTCAAAAACTCTTTCGTTTTACGATCAAGAGCGGACTTAAGGACATATGGTGGTCCACTTCATTCTCTTATTGTGCGGGTGATGTTACGTGTAATTCGGCTTTTATTTCATTTCATCTTATTTTAATCGCAGAGCTTTCCTAACTTCAAATGATATCTTTGCTTGTGAATATGTGAAATTTGTATGGCATTACATTGCATTGTGTTACACAAGTTCGTGACGTGTGGACATGCGCGAGTTAACTCTTACGTTAGCGCCCAAGAGGTTTCCTTTGTGTTAATCTCAATTTCCAAGTCCTAAGTTTGCGCCCAAAGTTCAGATAAACATGTATATACTTTTATATTGCTGATTGTGACTGCTGTCACATAGCGGCGGAGTAGGGGGCCGGAGGGCTGCAGTGCTCCCCGCCCCAACTAAAATTTTTTCGGAGGGAGGCTCAGCGCCCCGCTCCCCACGTTTTGCTGCCAAAAATATCCTTAGCGCGGCATAGAATTTGGCAAGATATTTAATCTTGTGATCTTTTTATAAATTCTTTCATCAGCATCGTGCTTGGCAAAATAACCTGTTATAAAACTTTTTTTGAATAGCTCCAGCCTGTGCCCGAGAAACTTATCAGCTGCCGGCAGTTCCCCATTAGACTAGACAGCACGTCTAGGAAATTAGCTGAGTTAATTTTGTCTGAGGGAACTCAATCAAATGCTTCGCTGAAAGATTTAGACTGGACCGGGAAAAATGAAAGTACTGTAAAGATTACAGATTGGTTTGCTTGTGCCAACGGACAACGCAACGGGCATTTTGGAAAATTTGAGTAGGGGTATGCGTATGCCTCCCCTTCCCCCCCCCCTGCACTTTTCAAAACGCTCGCTGCCTCTGTCTTAGCAGTCTCGTCAATATTTTTTCCTGTGTCCCTGAAACGCTCCTATTTAGCAATTTCGATTCCTTTCGATATAATATTCATACAATGAAAAAGGGTTAGGAAGAGGTTTGACATGCAAATTCGTGGCGTTAACACGGCCTTAGGATTATCGAGAAAGCTTTGAGGAGGACTTTTTTGGGATGCCAACGTTATTCTGTATCCTGGAACCACAGGATCGTTGGCTTTAATTTCAG